AACTCCTTAATGTGGTGGGGGTATTTACATCTCTACACTTTTACTGCAACAAGTTTATTTACATATTCTTTCTTTTTTTTGGCTTTTATATTTGATTACTCTGTTTGGTAAGTAAACTAATGACTACTTTACACTATCAATCATTGTACATTTTATTATGTGGCAATGTCCTTGCTAGGTGATATTTATCATATTTGAACCATGAATCCCACTATCTGACAGTGATTGATATCAGACTCAGTACCTGTTATTTCCTATCCCTTTTGTCATTCTCCAGTTTGAATTCTCTGGACTGATTTGTCATTTGGTTCGAGTAACTTCAGGAACATTTTCTTCAAATAGATTACGTATAATAAACTCTGAAACTTTGTATATGGGAAAATGAAATTGTTCTTCTTAAAGCAGCATCATGGCTGGATATACAATTTTTTTTTTTTTTTTTTTTAAGAGAGGTTCTCACTATGTAGCCCAGGCTGGCCTCAAACTCGCACTGAACCACCTGCCTCTGCCTCCCGAGTGCTGGGATTACGGGAGTGGGCCGCCACACGCGGCCTTGGACATACGATTCTTGTCTTCCGTTCATTTCCGTTCGCGTACAGCGTTATTCCATTGCCCCCATGTTTCTGGTGCTGGATGTGTAAAGTGCAGTTCTGTCTGACTTTCATAACGTAGTACTTTCTCTTTCTGAAAACCTGTTAAGATGTTTCTTTTTATCCCTTGAATTCAGGAATTTTTATGCATATGTTTTACTTAACTCCTGTCTGGGTCTTAATGAAACCACTTCAATCTGTAGACTCCAACTTCAAAATTTTCTCATAGTCTATGTGCAGTTGTTGCTTCTCTTTCTTTCTGCTGTTTCCAGAAATCTTTTTAAAATGTTAAAATCTATAACTTGTCCGCACTCCCTCTCTAGCAAATTAGCCAATTGCATGTCTAGCCTTTTGGATAGACCTGACCTCTGAATCTCCTATCTTTCCCTTCGGTGTTCCCATCTCTTTGTATCCATAGTGTGTTAAAATATTTTTGCCATTTGATCTTCCAGATAACTGAATTCTCAAAACTAAATAAGTTTGATGACTGTTCTTTCAATACCTACCTAGTAAGATAAATAGTGCATACAGGTGCACAGGTGTATGAATTTTCTAAAACTGAGCCACTAGTTATGTCAAGAGACAGAAATTTACTAACTCAGAATTCAGCCCACCTTTTCTTTTTTTTTTTTTTTTTTTTTTTTTGGTTTTGGGTTTTTTTTCCAGTACCAGAAATCGAACTCACGATCTTGTGCTTGCCAGGCAGGCGCTATGCCCCTGAGCTAAATCCCCAGCACCCCTACCTTTGCACTTGTTCACTGCACAGTCACAAGGCTAACTGCTATATTACTTCATAGCAACTATATTACTTTTGCTTACTTGATGCTTTATATAAATGAAATTATATAGCATATACTTTTGTCTCTGGATTGCTTCTCTTCAAAATGGAAACTTTGAAACTCCTTTTGGTCTGTATTGTGTGTAGATCTTTCCCTCTCACAGTATGTGTCCTATGGCTCCACAGAAGCCGGAGGGGTGTGGTGATGAGACTAGCATGCTGAAGTCCGTGATCAGGCCGCAGAGTTTTAGTGAGCCCATGCCCTTGAGCTGACTTCACAAATGCTTTTCAGCCCCCAACATCCCCCATTCAGAGACACAGGGAAGACAGGGAAGACAGAGTGCTACAGTGGGGTATTTCCCTACCCTGGTCTGGCTTCCCACTCGGGCTTTGGTAAAGTCCCAGTTGCTGTTCTTGAGGGCAGGCTTTGTTAAGAGAGAATTATTCTTGACATATTTTAAAACATTTACTTTCCTCCTCCATCTGTTGGGAGTCTGAAGAGATTTTTCTCTGATCTTCACTGTGAAAACCTAGTCAGGATTCCTTGAGGTAAAACTTGGAAAAATGTTGGGTTCCCTAAGTCAGCCTCGTTCCCGCTACTCCGGCCCAGTCCATCGGAGTTTTTAACTCTATAACTTGTCTGCACTGCCTCCCTAGCAAGTTAGCCAGCTGCAGACTAGGTTTCCCTCTCCTGGTACCAGCTCCTATGAAGTTTTCTGCTCCCCGGCATCTGTTCTAGCAAAGTTGTGATTCTTTCTATCTGACTGGAGGATAACTTTAATTTAGGCACAGGGGTTTGCACTATGACTACAGTTCCCAGATGGATCTAAAAAGAGCTGTTGACTTAAAGTTTGGAGCATGGAAGCTCAGCAGGCCTGGGAAAGCCATCTCCTTCACCTCTGCACCCTGTCCAGCTCACTCTAATTATGCCAGTGCTTTTGTAAAACTTTTGTTTCATTTTTAAGCTTTTGTAAAACCTTTGAAAATGAATTTAGCTGCAAAACAGAGCCAACTTCCGTTGCAAAATTGCAAAATGAAGACGTGGTTGGTTCATACTTCTCATTCGTGGTATTAAGCACAATTTTAAGACACAATTGATGCTGTTTAGACATTGAGTTTCCCGTTGAACACCGCTAGAGAAGACAAAAGCTTTCACTTGTGATGTGGATAAGGTAGATTGTGTCTAACGAACAGTACAATATTAAGCTGTGCAATAGAGGCCCTCTTGGCACGATGCCTTTTATTGGAAAGTTGAGTGGTTTGGAAGAATTTCCCTCTTTGATTCCTCCCTGGGCGTCCTTCCCCTTCTGAGTGTGAATGCAGAATCTATCAATAAACTCTTTGCACTTACAGGGTAATTTATATATTTGTTTTCTGCTGAAGTACCTGAAAACGTTGAGTCTAGAATTTATGTCTTATACACAGAGTGCCATATGTATTTAAATTGTGTATTTTTGGAAAGTAAAGCTAAATATTAAAAAAAAATAGGTTGGTTGGTTTTTTTCTTGTGTAACAGTGGAAATGACTTCTAAGCCTTACATGCCAGATCAAAGACCAGATTCTTACTGTTTTCAGGGTTTGTCTACATACACAACGTGCATTAGTACTTCAGGTTTTTATAGTCGTGGAACAGAATGCTCCACATTTTGCTTACCCATCCATCAACAGATGAACATTTGGGTGATTTCCACTTAGAAGCTATTTTGAACAGTGTTTCTATGAACATACATGTTTTATTTTCCTGGCATATACACCTATTAGTGGAATTGCTGATTATATAGAAAATTTATGTTTAATTTTTTAAGAAGCTGATGCACTATTTTCTAAAGTGGCTGTACAATTTGCAGTCTCATCAACACTGTATGAAGGTTTTTTATCTTTGCCAACATTTATTATTTTCCCTTTTTATGATAGTAAATGTAGCATATGTGAATTATTGATATTTTAAACTAGTTATAAATACAAATAAATATAAATGAATAATTAAAACCACATTTTTCCACTATATCCTCTCAAGAGATGAACTAGTCATAATAGTTTATTGTATAACTTTCAGAGGAAACATACAGCAATATGCTTATTGTACTGAATTTATATGTAAGTATATATAATTATAAATATACTGTATTAAAATTATAAATAAATTATAAATATACTGTATTTATGTAAATAGTATATTGTTAATGGTAAAGTGTATATTAACATTTCTTCAAAAAAAAATTTCTTCAAAGAAATCATGCATCTTTTCTATATTTTCACTTTTTTTCTTTTTCCCCAGTGCTGGGGATCAAACCCAGGGCCTCACACAGGCTACACTAGTGATCTAGTGATCTACTACTGAGCTTCAGCTTCTGTTTCCACTTTTTAAAGTATAAAAAGTCTTTTCATATAAGAATACCAAATAAATCTAATTTTTTAAATCCTTTGTATTTGGACCTACCATAGTTTATTTGATAAGTACAGATTTATTTAGTGGTGCACACCTGTAATCCCTGTACTCAGGAGGCTGTGGCAGGAAGATCATCTTGAGTTCAAGGCCAGCCTGGGCTATAGAGTGAATTCAAGAACACGTTAAACTACTCTGAGAGACCTTCTCTCAGAAAAAAAAAAAAAATAACAAGAGGTTGAGAATATAGCTCAGCGGTACAGTGCCTGCCTGGCAAGCCCAAGGTACTGAGTTTGATTCCCAGTTCCAAAAAAACAAATAAATAAACAAGTATAGTTATTTGATGAAGCCTCTGTTAAATGGCACTTGGGCTGTTTCCATTTCTTTCTGTATAACAAGTGATGTTGTGCCTACATCACTGGGATCAACAGATATGTTACTTCCATCAGTGTCAAGGTGGGTCTCAGCCCAAAAATATTTTCTTCCTGACACTAATTTCTCTTTGTCCTTTTCTTTTGCAGTTGGCCTCTCATTTAAAACTGATTCATCTTTGGAAGAACTACATGTATATTAAGCTTATTTATTTATTTATTTAGTGACACTGGGAATTAAATCCAGGACCTTCACACTGAGCTACATCCCTAGCCTTTTTAATTTTTATTTATTTATTTTTTTTTTTTTTGAGACCGGTCTTACTAAATTGCCAAGTTGCCCACGCTGGTCTGGGATCCTCCTGCATCAGACTCCCAGAGTGCTGGGATTATCAGCATGCACCTTTATGCCCAGCCACGCTAATACTTTATGTATGCCAAAAAAAATTCCAGTGAAAATGAAAATTTTAAATTATTCCCCCAATGCTTCTCCAAGTATGGTATCTGGCTGGCACACAAGCACCACTTGAGAACTTGTTTAAAATGCAGATTCTCAAGCCCCACCCAGACCTACTGAGTCAGCAGTGCTGGGACTCAAGCCCAGCAGTCTGCTGGACAAGTTCTCTGGGTTACTTTGTCACTGGCTAAAGTTGGAGGATCACTGTCCTGTATTTGCACTGCTCTAAGTTAAGAACATCCCAACATCATCTCTATAAAAATAATACGTAGTTAGGTATATGTAGTGCTTTTCCATTTCCAAAGTATATATTATTCATATGTCCTGTTTTGCAGGTCAAACATAATAAATTATATCAAGTATAGTGAAATTAAGTAAAACTGTATTTTTCAACTTACACAATATCTTTTCTTTAAAGTGCTAAATAATGCTACATCAAAATTTCTACCACATCTATACTCTAAACAGTGAAGGGAATTCTGAGCAAGGTAAACGTGAGCTGATTCATGGACACAGCAAAGAAAGTTACCAGCATGGACGCCTTCTGCTGGTAACGCTGAGTGAGTGGGTGTGCTCGGGGCACACTTCGGGGAAGACCTGGAATGGATGAGGTAGGCTGGGATCGCGGATTCCCGGCCAGTTCCAGGGTTTCACGTTGCTCCTCCACTCCTTTTATTAATTTTAAAAAGTTAACAATTATTTTTTAAATCAGAAACAATGAAAATATTCACCCTATTTAAAATGTTCATATGTTTAGTAAAACCGGTTTCAAAAGGGAAAGGAAGTACAAATGCATGAGAGTAACCTTGTGTTAAAGCATACTCCGGAAATTGTAACGGCATAAAATACAGCTGCCAAGAATTTGGAAGATTTGACTTTCGCCAATCAAATGTTTTATAACATTAAAATATAATTTTAATCACATTTTTACTGTTCCCTAGAAAGCCAAAGTATTATTAGATAAAGTTATCCTAAATCCAATCTGGATCATCACTGACATAGGTATTTAGACTTGCATAATATTCTTTTATACCTGAATTCTTTTCCTGTAGCAAGAATTAGGGCAATGAACAATAATACTAATGTAAATATCCTGGAATTCTGTTTTACATCAAAAATTAAAAAGGAAAACTAGATTTCTACTGAAACAATATAAAATGAAATAAATGTCTAAAATAGCTCCCTTCCCATATAACCTCTCATTCTAAAGATACTATTTACATGTTTTCAGGGTAAAAATGAACCATTTATATGATGAAGAATCAGGAGTTGAGCATAGACTATCAATGGCAAGATAATAAATGGAGGAATTCTTTAATGACTGATTATTCTCTGAAACTGTGAAATACTCCAGACATAACATAATAATGAACTATATTAATTCCTGTAAGGGCTTTAGGGAAAATGTATGCAGAAGTGAATTGTTATTGCAAGTTGCCAAAATGGAGCTGTGAATAAGGTGGCATTGTATTGCTTTATAGTATTCTCTTTCCAACCTAAGTTTTAGTTCAGCAGAGCAGACTGCCTGTGCTTTGTCGTGGATTGTGATTGCTGGGGTTATCTAAATTTCAAGCTTCTTAGATTGCACCTGTGGACTACCCAGACACTTATGCCACATACGTGTTAATTCCCATTAAAGACTGCGATTCCTTAGAACACTGAAACACCTGAATTTCAGTTAAAGCTCTATAGCCATAGAAATGTTTATTTGGTTGAATGAGCTAATTTATGACTAACTTAGTGCTTCTCAAACTTGTCCACAAAATAGGATTCACAGTTCTCATCCCCAGACCAATTAAATGAGATTCTCAGAACTGCTATTCTTATGTGCAACCGTGAAGCTTATATTTGATGAGAAAACAAAGAAAATCAACTCATAACAAAGCCTGTGTGCAAATAGTTAAAGTTACTTTTTAAAAATCCAGATCCTATAGCTATTGGAAAAGGGTATCCAAGGAACAAGTTTAATCTCTGTTAATTCCATGTAGATGTTCCTACCTTTAGACTACCTTCTTTCATAGCAATTATGAAAAAAATCTCCCTTCACAGCACTCTCCAACAGAATTTTCTGTGGTACTTCGTATGCTTTATGGTTGTGCCCTGCAACGTGGGGCTATAAGCCTTATGTGTCTTGGGTTCTTGATATGTGGCTAGCATGAAAAACTAGATTTTTACTTTTTATAATTTAAAGTATAACAATTATCTGTAATTTATGGCTCTCATATTGGAAAGCACAGTTTAAAGAATTATCAGTAACCAACCAGTTGATTACATACTTACAGGAAGAAGTTCCCTACCTTAATTTCCCTACATGATTATCACATTCTCATCTATGTCAGTGATCACTAGGGTGACAAAATGGAATTTTTACTAAGGCGTAGGCAATAACTATAACTCACAAGATACGAATTTTCAAAACAACAGCTGAGTCACTGCAGCATTGAGTAGGGGTACTCATTGCTGCGGCCAGAATCCAGTATATTGATAGCTTCATAGATGGTTCCTGGTCCGTGAAGCTTCCTGCCATTGGGAAATCTATTTTACTATTGAAAGAAAGATCATGTGGGCTTGAAATCTAATATCTCTGGGGAAACATTCCACGCATTTGCAAAATGCAAATAGTATTAGCATATGTTCCAATACCAAGAAATATACAAAACTGAAAGTTTCAGAAATGCTGCTGTTTGTGTATTAGATGTTGAATTCAGTAAAAAATCTATTCTTTGGCTTTTCAGAACTCTACTGCATGGTACAACCTGTAAGGTCCCAGCCTCTTTATTGCTGCTGGTAAGAAGGAAGCTGTGTGTTCACATTCCAGCTTGCTATTCTCTACTGTCACTGTATATCCTTCTGGAGTGGTTTAAAATCAATTAAATGAAATTTGTGCTCTGCATGTTGGAAAATGTATGGTTAAATGTCAAAGTATTTCCAAAGCTATTCTGTATGATCCTATAATAAAGAAAAATCACTTCTGTACATTTGTGTCACTGAGGAATTTACTAATGAAAGAAAGTACCTTGCTTTAACTTTTCATATTAAGACCAGAAATGCACTGAAGAGATCAGAACCAATGTTTAGATAACATTTATTAAATATAATGTGACCACAAAGCACACTACCAGCTTTAGCAGAACCAGGAAAAGACATTATTTATAAACTCAGATTTATCTATGAGAATGCTACTAACAAATATCAAGTTTATCTGATACAAGTTAAGGTGATATTTATCTGATAGTAAGAGGGACACTGAAAAGAATAATGTGGGGAAGACCTACTGAATGGCTTAATAATGTGTATATTCATGTGTCTTAGTCTTCCTCTTTTGGTCCTGAAGTTGATGAGTTATCATTATCACCATTATCTAAACGTATGCTTAATTTTATATATGAAGATTTATTTTACAAATCTTCAGAATTTTGTCAAGACACACTGCACTACAAAGCAAGATCCTGTCTCAAAAAAAAAAAAAAAAAAAAAGTTGGTGGACCCAAGTGATGGGCATAGCATCACTGTGTTATTCTTTCTACTTTGTATAAACCATTTATAATTTTTTCAAAAAATTTAAGAAAGAATTTAACAGAAAAAAATTATACACTAAAAATCAAAGGATAGAAAACAATATTTAATTCAACAGGAATCTGAAAATAAGTAGTAGTAGCTGTCTTATTTCAGACAAAGTGGATCTGAAGCCAAACCTGATCAAATGAGGACATTGCATGCTGGTTAATAGAATTATTCAACAGGAAGAGATAACAATTATAAACATACATGCACCAATCCACAGTGAAATCAACTTCATAAAACAAACTCTAATGAACATAAAAGGTCAGATAAACATCAATGGGGATCTCAGTACACTACTATCAAAAATAGATAAACTAAAGAGAAGATCAAACATATCAGAGTTTAACCAAACTTTGCAACAAATGGACTTAACAAATACAGATTGTTCCATCCAACAAAAAATACACATTCTTTTTGGCCACATGGTACATTCTCCAAAACAGACCACATACTATTTCAAAAGAATCAGAATTTTACCATGCATATAATCAGCTCACGGTACAGTGAAACTGGAAATCAATAGCAAAAGAAACTACAGGAAACACAAAAATATATATGGAAATTAAATACACACTTGAGTAACCAATGGATTACAGAGGAAATTAAGGCAGAAATAACATAGTTCTTACTTTTCTTTTGAGATATGGTCTTGCTATGCAGCTCAGGCTGGTCTGGAACTCATGGCAATCTGCTTGCCTCAGCCTCCCAAGTGCTGGGATTACAGGCATGACACCATGCTCAGCTCCTACTATTAAATGGTAATGCTAGTACACCATACCAGAACTCATGGGACACAATGAAAGCAGTCCAACAAGGGAACTTTATAGTGGTGAGTGCACACATTAAAGAAAATAATATAGAACAATCCCAAATAAATAACCTACTGATGCATTTCATGGTCTTAGAAAAACAAGAAAAACCTAGACCAGAACTTGTACAAGGAAGGAAATTATAAAACTCAGATCAAAAAGGAATGAAATTGAGGCTTAAGAGAAAAAGAATCAAAGAATCAAAAAGCTAGTTCATGCCAGGCATGGTGACATGCCGTAATCCCACTCAAGAGACTGAGGCAAGAGGATCACAATTACTTCAAGGCCAGTTTGGGCTATATGGTGAGTTCAAGGCCTGCCTGAAGTACATAGGAGACTGTCTTGAAAAACAAAATGCTGGTTCTTTGAAAAAAGGAATAAGTAAAATAGAGAAACCCTTAGCCATTCCTACCAGAAAAGGAAAGATACAAATTAATTCAATTAGAAATTTAAAGGGCCGGGACTTAGCTTAGCGACACAGCACCTGCCTGGCAAGCACAATGTCCCGAGTTCAATTCCCGGTACAAAAAAAAAAAAAAAAACTCAAAAGTAATATCACAATGGATAACGCCAAAATTGAAAAAATTATTAGCAACTACTTCACAAATATATATGCCAAACAATTAGAGAAATCGAAAGAAATTGAGAGATTCCCAGATACAGATAAATTGCCAAAGTGGACCAAGAAGACTTAAAAGTCTTCAACAATCCAATAGCAGGCAATGAAAATGAAGCAGTGCTTTGGAACGGACAGTCCCAGTAGCATTATTCACAATAGCAAAATGGTGGAAGCAGCACGTGTACGCTCACACACAGATGAATAAATAAAATGTGGGGTATACATCCAATGGCAAATTACTCAGCTTTAAAATGGGAGGAATTCCCAAACATGACTTAACACAGACAAGCTTTGAAGATATTATGTCAAATGAAACACGTCACAAAAGGAAAATGTATATGACTTACATGAAATGTCTACAGCAGTCAAACTATAGAAGCAGAAAGTAAAATGGTGGTTGGCAGAGTCCCAGGGAAGGAGGCAATGGGGAATGACTGTTCAGTGTGTACAGAGGTCCAGTTTGGAAAGATGAAAAAATTTCCAGAGACAGATGTGGTGACCACCGCAAGGCATTGCGAAGGTGCCACTGAACTATGTACTTGATGGCTAACATAGGACAAGTTATGCTATTTTTAATGCAATAAAAAAACTTACACACTTTTCTGTTACTTTCAAGGATATTTTGCTAGTTTGTTTGTGGACAGATAATTTTAAAACTCCACCAGTGATAAGCTTTGAAATTCTCTGAAGCTTAAAGAACAGTTTATAAATCTGCTTTCTAAAGGACATACACACAAGTTCACATTCATGGTGGGAGCACAACAAAATTTCACATCCGAGTTGTTTAATTTAGCCACTCATTTTCTGTAATTTTTTTTGGCAGACCAGTTCTTTATTTCAAAAACACACTTGTCAATATTCCATATCAAATCACTCTATTGGTTTTTCATCCTCCCAGCTGGCTGCAAAGAGACCACAACAAAGGAAGAGCACATTTCAAGCCAATGAGCTAACGCTAACAGACCTTAGAGAATCACCACCTAAAAGTAGTGGCTGGCTCGGGACAGCACAGCGTCTGCCCACTGACTGCACAGGCTCCCAGCCAGAAGGAGCGGCCAGGGCATTTCAACCCCAACGAAGCAAAATTTCAAAATGTAAAAGTTTAAATTTTGTATATAAGGTTTCCAGGATTTCTCTGGCACTGACTGATACAAAGTACAATGAGATGGCAGTTTTAGAGAAGGCAGCTTCAACCCCAGAAAAGGGAAACGAGATGAACGTTATATGGCTCAGTCAGTGGCAAAAACATAGTCTGCATTCTTTCAGTGAGGCAGGAAAGCAGTTAGTGGTCAGCTCAATATCTAGGAACACACGACCCATTTACTGAGAAACTAACAAGCAGGTAGAGAAGGAGTAAAAATGTGGTCTCAGAGCTAGAGAAGAGGCTGAGTAGGGGCGCTGGCCTAACATGCATGAGGCCCCCTGGGTTTAAAACACACAAACACACACACACACACACACACACACACGCACAGTTCACCTCATTGTGATTTGGTCACTTGTGATGAACAACAAAAAACCTATGTTGCCCAAAGATTCCTTAAAACTGAGAAAACGAACATCATGGGTTTTTGCTTTTTGTTTTGTTGCTGACTTCCAGAAATCACCTTTCTGGTAGCTGGTACTCGGTACAGAGCAATGTTTCTCGCAATGGAGTCTCGCTGGGCACTTTTTGGGTCTCAGGAAGGTGTACCTATACTTTCCCTCCTCTTTCAATAAAGCAATATGCATGACCTTCCAGAAGTGAAAAGGGACTTAGATTGCTGCTTCGGAACTGCGGAATTATTTGGAATTTCTTAGAACGGTCACTACACCAACACAAAAATTAAGTACAGCAGCCACACGCCACGGGCAGATGATGCGGCCCCTGCCAGCGCTGAGCAGGGTCTGTGTTTTGTTTGCCCTTGTGGTGGGGCAGCAGGGGTAACAGCCAACCAACCAACCCAACTGTGGACAAGGCCAATGCCTGAGTAGAAACGGCAAGTCCAGAGGGTGAGTAGATCCAGGGAGAAATTGCAGACTTGGCCAGCAGCACCAGCAGCACTGGTCCAAGAAAAGCCCACCGCTACTGTAAACTACACAAACAGTAAGGGGTTTTACTCCAAAAGACACTCCTTCAAGGCAGGCTCGAGGTGGAGAAGAAATCCAGGGCAGTGCCTGCCAGTGTTTAATCTTAAAATTGCCCGTTTGAGAAGGGGTAAATTATTTTAGACTGAGCCACAGAGCTACAGGAAAACTCCACTTTAGGGTTTCCACTGTTATCCACCCCACGACACACACGGTGAGTGGGTGAGGGTGGCCATGGAGACAGCCACAGAGAGCATGCGCGAAGTTTAACTCAGGCCGGAAAAGACAGCGCCTCTGCGCTCCATGGTGAGAAACGAGGCCCAGGAAGTGTGGCTTCCAGAGTAGGCTGGATCTGAAAGTGCCAGCACAAAGTCCAGCAGGCCACTTGACTTTTGAACTACTTGTGACAGTGGAGTGTTGAGGTCTTTCAGTAGAATTGTGTTGCTATTTATCTGACCTTTTGTATCCAGTAGTGCCTGCTTTATAGTCAGGCATGCCGGTGTCCAGTGCATGTGTAGTTGTTAGCTCTTCCTGTTGAATTGTTCCCACATCCAAATTTTGGAGACTTTCTCTGCCTCCTCTGATCAGTTTTGGCTTAAAATCTACTTTGTGTAGAAATAAGATGGCTGCTGCTATTTTCAGTTTCTGTTGCACTGAATATTGTTTTCCACCCTTTGATTTTTAGTATATGAGTTTCTTTTGAGGTTAAATGTATTTCTTGTATATAAAACACTTTTGGATTTCTTGATCCCTTTTTCTAACCTGTATGTTTTGATTGGGGAATTGAGTTCATTCATATCAGGAGTTACTACTGAAAGGTACCTGTTCCTACCATTATTATCTTCCTGCTGTTGATTCCTCCCTGCTACTCTTCCACTTAACTGTTCTTCTGCCAGTATATTCTTTTTTGTTTGTTTGTTTTTGTTTTTTTGTCTTTGAGACAGGGTCTCACTATGCAGTTCAGGCTGGCCTTAAGCTCACTTTGTAGCCCAGGCTGGTCTCAAACTCACAACAATCCTCCTGTCTCAGCCTCCCCAGTGCTGGGATTATAGGAGTATGCTGCCCGGCCTGGCCCGGCCCAGCCCCAGTATATTCTTTCTATCGGAACTTTTGGAATTGTCAGCTTCACTGTCTCTTAAGAGATCCTTGAGAAAAATTTGGAAAGCTTACTTGGGGGCAGTGAGTTTCTTTAGGGGCTCTTTGGAAAATTCCCCACTTCCCCAAAAAACCAGTGACGAAGAATAAAAGAGAAAATAAATGAGTCCAAAAAAAGAAAAATTTTCTTTGTATTTTTGAGTGGTTTCTTTCTAGGATCCAGTTTTGGAATCCTGCAAGTCATGCTTTTCTCCACCTCTGTTTATGGCAGTGGGTCTCTGCGGTACCCCCTCTCCCACAGTCCCCCCTGCACGATTACCACAGGCTGTAAGCACCACCCAAGCTGAGGTGTCTCCTTGCTCATGTTGGTAGATGGGAAGGCAATCCCCTCTGTCCTGTGCTGGATGTAGGCAGCAGGGCCAGAGTTCCAGCAGCCCACTGTACTTAATGCCAGCACTTTTAGGCCCAGACACTTCCGAGCACAAGCCAAGCCGTGCCTGGCTTCTCCCCATGGAAGGTTCAGCCTTTGCCTTTCCTGGTCTTACCTTAAACTTCCGAGGTTGTCCATTTCTGGCCCAGTCCCTCTCCGCAAGCTGTCTCCCGCAGTTGTCTCTTGTCAAATCACTGCAGGAGTCACACTGGGAACCCTCAAGCTGTGCACTTTCTCTGTCTTACATAACCCTTCCCAGAATGACACCTGACTTACACTCTCTGGTCATGTGGCAGGTGTTGCTCGGGATTCCCCCTCCAGCTGCTGCCTGCCAAGTGGAGTCACCTGGAAGCAAAGCCACATGCTGCTTCTACAGGTCACAACACTCATGGGCCCCTCCTGGGGCAGCACTGCGGGCCTAGTCCGCTGTTCTCCCTGGAGCTCTGAACCCTGGGGGCTTACACTGTGTCTGCGGAAATAGGTTCCCCATTCCCAGGAGCCAGCTAAGCTCCCAGGCTGCTTCATTCATTTCTCTGCATTGTGGTCTGTTTTTCTAACTTCTCTGTAGCTTCTAATTTTCCTTCCTGATTCCCAGAGATCTATTTCTTTTTCTCCTCACCAAGATATTCTCCAGGGATCTGGCTTCCAGGTTTCAGAGAACATGAATTTTGCTGCTGACACTACTCTGTTGTTTTGGTTCTGACCCGATAATGTCCCTTGATGCATAGATTTTAAAAATTTACAGTCCAACATCTATTTTTTCTTTTGTTGTTCACACTTGTCAGGTATACAAATCCTTTGCAAAATCTAGCATGGAGACATAATGCTGTGCTTCTTTAAAATATCTTATTTAAGCTCTGATATTGAGGTCATTGCTCCATTTTGAGTTAATTTTTGTACCGTGGTGAGTGGCAAGGGTTCAGCTTCATTCTTAGCTCACGGGGTCCCAGTTATCCTGGCATAACCTGCTGAAGAAACTCGCCTTCCCCACTGAATAGACTCAACACCTGCATCAAAACTCAGCTGGCCAGAGATACGTGAGTTACACAACTCCTTTTTGAGTTGTGAACACATGTCAACTATAGCATGTTTGTTATTAACAAACAAACAAATCCAGAAATGGGGGCAACTAAAATGCAGGCAAGGATCAAACTGCTTCTCCTAGCAGGCAAAAGGCGAGGGCACCAGGATACCAGTAGAGGAGCTGGCAGAGTTCATTACTGCAGATGCTGACGGGCAGGTGAAAAGGGTAGTAAATTAGGGGAACAAATCCCTTCATGCAACAAATACTGGTAACCTCGCTGCACACCAGCCACTGCTCTGAGGACGCAATGGCGAATCAAAGCACACGGAGTCTATGCTCACGGAGCTGTCAAATCTAAGGATCAGACAAAAGGTCAGTGACGTAGAACGTGTTAAGTCTTGAGGATCTGAAAGTCAGACTGGAATGGGTATGTCTGATAATATGATCAAATTCACCTATAAAATTGCTGTTGAGGGGCAATCAGCTGTCTATTCCCAGAGTCCTGAATCCCTCAGAAATGATCCCTACCCCTAAGCAACATCAGTATTGTTATCAATGTATAAAATATAAATAGAGCAACTGTTACAGATAAAAACAATTGGATTGTCTGTAAATTTATAATAAAGCAATGGCTTAAATTATAGGAATTAAAATTTATTCTGAATAGTTTTGCAAAGTTATCCATAAGTAACATTTATTTATTCATGTAATTACTGTCTTTTTGAGACAGGGTTTCCCTATAAAGTTCAGGCTGGCCTTGAACTCTTTTTGTTACCCAGGCTGGCTTTGAACCCACAGCGATCTTCCTGCCTCAGCCTCCTGAGCAATGCGGTTACAGGCATCCGCCATCATGTCTGGTTGTAACTTTTTAATATGCTAGTGTTTTATAATTAAATAAACCCAGAGAAAGTAGAAAGTAAAGTTGTCTAATAACTTCTTGTGAAAACTCTATACTCTTAAAATTGTCATTTAAAGTCTTTTTTTAATGTGCTTTTATTTTTTATTTTTTGAGACAGGGTCTTGCTATGTACTTCAGGCTGGCCTGGACTCAAGGCAATCCTCCTGCCTCAGCCTCCCAAGTACTGGGATTACAGGGGTGTGCCACCACACCCAGCCCCTTCATTAAAAATCCTAGTATCATCAAAATGCATGGAAGATTAAGACTGTGCAAGGAAACAGGTATATAAATTATTATTAGCAGTCGTATTTGTCTCAAGCTTTGTAACCCGAAGGTTCCAAAAGCACCCAGGCCAGGTGGTATACTTCCTCCCTGTGGTGGAGGCCTGTGGATTATTTAATCTCCATGTAACCCAGTTTGAGTGTTCGCTCGCACTGAGCACTTGGGAGCCTCCTCTCACCTAGAGGATCAGTCACATCCCCACTGCGGCACAGAACACCTGACACACACGGCTCACGGGAACCCAGCGCCCAGCATCACTGCTGAAACTTGTCTTTCCTCATCGAGCGGACTCGACACCCACCTCAGAAGAGGTATGTGAATGGATAGCTCCTCTCTGAGTAGTACAAGGAAGAAAAGTAGTAAAGTTTTTCCCTTACTAGCTACAGCATGTCTGTTGTGGACAGGAATGATCCGGGGGAAGGATTTATTTTTCCTCACAGTTTCAGCCCGGTCAGCTGGCTCCGTGGCAGAAGGGCCTGGCAGAGCTAAGCTGTTTGGTCAGTGGCCCTGAGAAGCAAACAGCAGTGGAAGAGCCAAAGAGGATGAGGCAAGGGCTACGGCACCCTCCTCCAGCCAGGCCCTGCTGCTAGGCGCCCCTTCGGCTGTGAACTCATGAGTGGGTCTCTCCGGGGGAAAGCTCAGTGCCCTTACAATGCGGCCACCTCTGCAGGAACCTTCCACCCAGTCGCGATGACAGTCAAGACTATCCAGCGCACCGGAAGCTCAAGAGGAGCCTGGGTAGGACGCCAGAGCTAACAGGGCCACTGAGGCATCTTCACAAGCTCAGAGTCCCTCAAGATACTCTACTGTTTCGGGCTTCTGTCCGTATTCGGGTGGAAATAGCTCAGCTTTTAAGGCAACAGGCAATAAACTAAAGGCCAACAAGCTCCACTCAAAATCACCTCTGTAGGCTCCACCAGGCAACAAGGGGGAAATGTGCCAATTCCAGTAACTATAGGAAGTTGACCTCACACAGTACTTAAAGTAGTATTGTGCCGTCCTAGAAACTTAAGATCTTATCTGGGACTTCACATAAAAAAAAAGCATAAAGTAACTTTGTATAACAACAGAAAAATTTAAATGTCAGAGTTACTATAAAATATATCACTATTTGACATTAATCACTGGTGATTCCAAATGTTTCTGAAGTTTTTTAACTGTAATCCCTGCACTCCAGAGGCTGAGGCAGGAGGACTGTTGGGAGTTTGAGGCCAGCCTGGGCTACAAAGTGAGCTCAAGGCCAGCCTGAA